CGCGCCGCCCTCGTCGCTTACTTGATCTGCAAAGCAGCTGCACCTCGCTACTCTCGCGAACAGGGAAAGCCTCAGTGAATACAGGAAGCACAAGTACAGAGACGAGAGCTCTTACGAGAACGCGCGCAACTGCGAGAACGTGGCATCGCCAGTGGGCGACGCCCTACTCAAAGACATCTCACGACGACTGCGAGAACGCGCCAAGTGGAAACCAGCCTGGTGGAACTACTCTCTTGACGAGCAGATCTCCGACGCCTGGCTCCAGCCAGACCTTTCCCGAGTTGCCGAACTCGCCCGACTCCGCGCTGGGGCGCGCATGGGCCCCAAGAAGCGCGCGTTCCTCGCCTTCCCGAGCGCCGGGCCAGCAGCGGCGCATTACGAGGCATCACTGGGACGAGACGGAGTTGACGGCGGACTCACCGCCACGCTTTTTTACGTCAGCATCTACATCGAGAGCGACACCAGCATCGAGCAACTCTACCACCGCCACGACGACGACATCACGCCACTCGGAGAGTACCGCGTGGACTCGACACACGATTCTCTGTTCGCAGCTGCTGAGGACCTCGGCGCTATGGCTAAACGATGCTGGGCCAAGAAACACCGCAAGTTCCCACCGAGCTGGTCATGGCCCACGGAAGTGACGACGATGATGTTATTTCCAAACTACCTCAGCAGACCTGGACCACCGCGCAGCGAACTCGGGTACGCCACGACCGACTACGACTCTTCACCCCGCGCCCTACGACGCGGACTAGGACACCATCGGCCACCGAACAGCGACGATGACAACCCACGACCACCACGACCACCACGACCTCACACCGACGACAACTTCAGACCGACTACGACCACCGCGAGGCCCCGAAGGTCACGTTTATCCACCTCCTCGCCCACGTACGCGACTCCGACGCACTCTCAGCTCAATCCTACACGTGCCAAACGGTGGCCATCGGCAGGAAGGGCAAAGAACCTCGCGGCGACCCTGTCCACGACCTGGAGAACTGCCTGCGCATGCTTCGCGTCTTCTGCCCCTTCTGGCGGCTATATTTTCGAAGCGGACTGGTGGACTTCAGCAGCACTTGCCACCCGCCCCCATGGGCGCGCGGAGGCATCCGCGCTCGACGACGCGAAGGACTCATGCTATTTGCTCGTGTCGCCACTCACAAGTTACGCAGGGCCCACGTCCCGCACATCGTGAAGAGCTACGACATGAGGAACGCATTCGGCACCGGCTACACTCATCGACTCTGCGCCGCCCACCAAATTCGCACGGACAACGACCACTGCGAGAACATGCTCAGCCAACACCGCGAGAAGGCCACCATGCGGATCGACGCGCGCGACCAGATGATCGGCCCCCACCCGCGCACAGGCGGCCGCATGGCCGACAGCAACGAGCCAGAGCTCTTCATGGAACCTTTCTATCTTCTCATCCAGGACTGGGACCTGGAACTCGCCAGCATCGTCGGGGACGGCTTGCTACGCCCAGCCCGTTCAGCGGAGAAGTACACAGAATCGACATGGGTGCCTTCATCGACGACATCATCCGCATCTTCCGATTCCCGACGGCGCCCTACGACAAGCCCCAGCTATCGATTGCATCGACGCGCCCATCTTGAACCACGAGCTCGCGCGGGGCGGCTACGCACAGATCCCTTCGAAGCAGGAGGCCCTGGTCCGCCTCGCCACCAGCTCAGCGACCAAACGAGCCGAGCGCGACTTGACTGGCACGTGCATGACCAACCTGATTCACCTGGGCTCCTACATCCACGCGGGCGGCTACCGCGCTCGGGAGGTCGAGGAGCGCACCCGCGCTTGCAACGTCGGCTGGACTCGGCTGACTCATGTTTGGACTTCGTCCGCGCCTAGACGATGCAGAATACTCGTCTTCCTTGCGAACATCGCGAGCAGAGCGTGGTCAGGCCTGGAGGCTCTGGTCCTAACGCGGGCCGAGGTGGCGCGCATCGACGCCAGCGCGGCAAAAAAAAGATGCGCTGCATGCGCCACGGCTCCGCTCGCACAGTCGACGACGACGGCGCTCATTCTGCTCTCACCACTAGAGACCTGTTCACGGAATGGAGCATTACCCTCACGGGACTCGAGCTTTGTGTCAGGAGATTGAAGTAGTGGCAAACTCTCAGCAAAGAAGCCTATCATCATGACCAGTTATTGTTGCAGGCTTCTTTGGCCGCAGTAAGATTGAAGATCAGATTTCTCGTCGAGGCCTACCCACTTCCGCTCATACGTTGCTGCCTGGCGGCCCCCTGAATCCCGACGAACATGTCCATTCTTGGGCCCAACATTTCCGAGCAGACCTCCGAAGCGCCCTTGAAGCCCGCGTCGCCGGCGACTTCGAAGACATGTGGACCATCGCGTCCGATATCAAAGAGCTCTTTCAGAATCCAGAGATCCAGGAGAACTTCCAGAATATCGACTTCAGTTACCTCCGCCAGGCCTACGTCTCTCAGTCTTGGGCCCCACCTGAACACCTACGGCATCTACCTTTCGACGAGCCACTTGGAGACCCAGACGGCGACCCCGAAGATCCCGCTCCGTTCGCATGCAACGCCGAGGGGTGTACGAAGAGGTTTCGCACGTTCTCCGCACTTATATACCACCAGACGACGGCAGCACTCCCTGGGCACGGTATGAATATTATCCTATCTACCACCGCGATCGACAATAAATGCTTCGTCTGCGAGAACGTCTACGGAGACATTCTATATTGCCAATCTCATCATCACCGCTCCTGGCAAGAAGGACGCTGTTTCGTCGATCGCACGTTGCACACCTATCCCTGGTCACCTTCGACACGCACGAGATGCCCCCTGGAACATGTAAGTGGTGCCGTCGACTGTCATCGAGACCATCACGACCCCGAAGCACTTCGAGCCCACCTTCGCACGCGCATCCCTCCGTCGCCACCTGGGCCCTGGCTCAAAACAGTCCCGCGCTCCGCGCGGACGGTCGCTCGAGACGGCGAGTCGGCCAGACCGCAATCCTTCCCTGCGCC